GTTCACTTTCTAGTTTCTGGGTTGCACGCCGTTTGCTGATCTCCTCCTCCTCTCTTCTACTGAGGAAAGTCAAAGGACTGCACTTAAGGACCTACAGAACTACATGTGGCCTCAAGGTTGCAGGTTCCCTACCCCTGTAAATCTGGTCATTCTGGAAATTGAATCGGAACTATCTCCAAAAAGTTATGTAACTAGGCATATCTTGTTACCCAGCTATATCAATACTGGGGCTATGCCCACAAATAAAGTTTTTTTTAAAAGAAGCAAAGGCCCTTTATACAAAAATATTTATAGGAGCTACTTTGATGGTAGCTAAATATTAGAAACTAAACTCCTAATGAAGAATGGTTAAACAAATAATTAGATGAAAGCAACAATTTCAGAGGAAATTGAGATCTCTACAAACTGATACAGAACAAAGAGAGAAAAACTAGAACAATTTACACAATAATAACAATATTATAGAGAAAAATAAATTTAAGACTTTAGAATTCGGTCAATACACTGAGAAACAAATCCAAAAAATGAGAATGGAATATGCCGCTCACCTCTTGCCAGAGTGGTGAACTTAAAAATGTAGAGAGACATTAAGTTTTCAGACACAGACAACATGTAGATGTTTTTCACTGGACTATGTATTATGGACTGAGATCCTTATTTTTAAGGGTTTCTTTTTAAAAGCTGCTTAGTGGAGGTGGGGGTGAATAATGGTAAGAATAGATTAATACAAAAAGAAATTCTGAAAAGAAAGAAAATCCTAAAATGTGGTTTGTACATGGTTTCACTCTTAACACTGTAAATGGCTTTCTAAAAAGCGGTTTTAAAAATGTATATGCTTGTTAATATTCTTTATTCTCTTCGTTACATTAACAATTTTTGACTGTCAAGCCTCTTACAAAAAAGCTACATGGCAGCCTACACAGGCTCTCCAGCCCAAAATTAGTTCAAATGCCTATGTCACAAGGTCAACACTTACCAAACACCTTAGGGGAAAAAAGAGAGTGCACACGACTATAATTATGATATTGATGACCATGTGTTTTCTATAAAATGTTGCATGTCCAAATTTGCTTTGCTACATAATACCAAACAAATGGAATTCAATTGCCATTTCTAAACATATTTTGTTTCAGATACTTCCAACAAAGCAAGACTTTTAATTTTATTATCCTGCTGACAGAAGGAGCAAGCTTGAGATCGACCTGTGCACTTAGCAGAGATAACTGAAATGAATGAAGCAGAAATGAATAAAAAACAAATAGTTTGAAAGCAACACTCCAAATTAAAGTCCAATTAGATAAAGTGTTCAACATCTGGGCTACTATTTCACTCAAAAATCCCTTTCATCTCATGAACCTCTGGTCTCACTCTTTCAACTATAAAATTCTGTCTCAATATATTCCTTGTATGATTATATTTGGTTTCCTTTTTTGACAAAACAAATCACGGCCCTGAGAATGTATTAAAATGGTAGTACAAAGACAAACTAAAAAATGACCATATCTTCTAGCTGAGAGGATCAAAGGAATTAATTTCAAATCCCTAACAAAGCATGAGAAAAGAAATTTAACCAATTACAAAGAATCACCCATTCCCTATTGGTAAGATAATATAAGTAAAGGAAAATTACTGTCATAACACCAATAAGAAGAGGAAAGTCATAGACACCTAGGCTCATCACCAAAAATGTCAGTCAATAAACACAGGAGAAATACAATTGCCCAATAAAATGTTCAAGGCATTGGCATAATTGGGGGGGGGGGCACGCAGACAACTCTACTTTCTACATTGATTGGTCCAAAATTCCAACATTGTTTGTGGTTATCATACGTCCTCATCAAAACAGATGGGCATATTTCATTTGGAAAAATGCACTATCACCTACTGGGAACCAAAATATCATCTACAAGCAGAAATTAGCCACTAGAAATAAAACAGTCTGAAAAGACAATGCTTCTCAGTGTTTGGAGTCAGTATTTTAAAAGCCATCCCCCCGCCCTCCCAAAGCAAGGGCATCCAAAGTAAAACTACTAACTTTTTAAGGGGAAAGGAAAAAAATGGCCCCCAAGTTCCTAGGCAACACCTGAAGCGGCAATCCTTTCCAAGTGTACTGGCCATGCCTGAATGAATCTTCCTCTGAGATCATTCCCAATTTGTAATGTATATATCTGTATACATAGCTGTTGTCTTCCCCGTTAAACTGTGAACCCCTTGAGAACAGAGAATGCTTTTTTTGCCTTTCTTTGTAACCTCAGTGCTAAGCTCCATGCGTGGAACACAGTAGGCACAACTGACTGAATCAAAGTAGTAGGGAAGAAATCATTTGCTAGCGAGAGGTTGAAGATGGAAGATAGAGGATGGAGGACTGTGGATGCAACATACAGAAGGTAAGGGTAACTGGGATCAAGCTCTCAAAATGGGAGTTAGGAAAAGAGGCTGTTCCTGGAAAGCAGAAGATTTGCCAGAGACCAAGGGGAAGGAGAAGATTTGGCTTATATCAAATAATTTCAGGATGAAAAGAATGAGAAGAGGAAACTCATGTAAAAAGTTCTATTTTCCTCATTAAATAAAAAAAGCAAAAATACTCAGCTGAGAGAAAAACGGGAAAGAGAGGAGGAGAATATCTGGCACAGTTTTTTGTGGAAAATGTGAAAGGGAATCTAACAGAGAAGAATAAAACAACTGCTTTACTTGTTGTTCAATGGCTGTCAGTCGTGTCTGACTCTCTGTGACCCCTTCGAGGTTTTCTTGGCAAAGATAATAGAGTGGTTTGCCATTTCCTTCTCCAGCTCATTTGAAGGATGAGTAAGTGAAGCAAACAGGGTTCCGTAACTTGCTCAGGGTCACACAGCCAGCAAGTGTCTGAGGTCAGATTTGCTCTCATAAGTTGAATATTCCTGATTCAAGGCCCAATGCTCTATCTACTATGCCTCCTAGCTGCTCACCTTTAGTTGGCAAGTTAGCACTAATAATTTACCAATTAGATAAGTGAATGCTGAAAAGAATACCAGGAGATAAACATGTTAAAACCACAAGGCACCTTGTGAATGAACATATACCAGACAAGCATGCACCCTTCTGTCTGGTTTCTTGGTAAAGTGTACTTGGCATGTTTTTTAATTAAAAATAAAGTCACCATTGTGGTTTTCTTCTCAGCAGAGGCTGGAAAAGGCATAACTGCTGATGAGAAAAAAAGTCATCCTTTATAGCACTAGCCCTTCTATACAACACCTCTTTAGCTCAAAGAGAATCATGCCAACATCCACACTGCAGCTCAGTGTTTTGCTACTAGGAATCCCATAAAGAAGGGACAATGACTTGCTTCCTTCTATCTGATGAGGTTGAAGGCCCAAACAAGCAAGTTGAGATTTTCCCATATTTCTCAGCAATCTCAATGAAAAGAAAATGCACACAATAACAAACTGAGCAAAAATATTTTATCTGGCTTCATATTATATATTAAATAGAAAATTTAGAAATTTATAGAAAATTAGAAAATCATATATTAAATAGAAAATTGTTTAAAGAACGCAAAAGACTATTCACTCATTTCTGCTAAGTGGCACAATACACAGAGCACTGGGCCTGAAGTCAGGAAGACTTGAGTTCAAATTCAGTTTCAGCCACATACTAACTTAGCTGTGTGACCCTGGCCAAATCACTTCAGTATGCTTAAATTTCCTCATCTGTAAAACAGGAGTGATAACAGCACCTACACCTCGTTGGGTTGCTATTGGGATCAAATGCGATAATATTAGTAAAAAGCATGTAGGACAGTGCCTGGCACGTAGTAAGTGCTATATACCTGTTAGCTGTTATTATTATTACTAATTAGGTAATCTTTTCACCAAGTTTCTTTTCATTTACTTATATTATTTTCCTCAGAAGGTAGCTAGGTGTTATAATTATGAATGTATTCTATTGGCCAAAACCTAGAATATTTAATATACTGTTACTAAGTCAAACTCCATTAAACCAATCTCAATCATTCTCTTCCCACTGACATTTATCTAACATAGAGCCCTTCACTGCCATGCATATGCACTATAAAAACAGTCCCCCAATCAACCTTTCTGCCACTCTAATCAATTCTTTTCACAATTCACAGATAAAAATTTATGCATACTTACTCAAATCACTCCTCTGCTAAAAATCATGTAGTGGTCCAGTATTCTAAACGAAGTCCAAACTGCTTAGGCTGGTATTCCAGGCCTTCCATAATCAAGCATAGCCCTAGTTTTTAAGTCTTATCAAAGACTACAGTCAGTTGAACTTTGTCCGACATGGACTCAAGTCAAAAACTGCAGCTGTAAGTTTTTTGGTCACATCATTCTTCTTGCTAATGTATTTCAATATCACTTAAGAATTTATCAATCTGTCCTAAATTAGATCCCATACATACTTTTAAAAGGGCCAGTTAGTAAGTACTGGTGAAAGCATACAAACTCATCATCAAAAATGGATAAAGGTGATGAGCTTCTGCAAACATTACCAGAAGAACTAGGGCTATTCCCTGCATTGTGATATGAAAAGAATGAAGTCTCACTGCAGATATGTTATTTCTCCTTCTGCATGGCAGTAATCGGCCATTTTTTAATCTAGTTCTGAAAGAGAATCTACAAAAATTCTGCCTCTACCACATCTCCACTGCTAAATGCAATTTTCATCCTGGCTTTCCATCTCCTGTTTGGATAATATATTGGTGAATCTAACTCACAACAATAAGCTTGTCTTAAATATGACCACTGTAGCATGTAATTTTTCTGTATCCACTTTCTGTAAATTTTATCCACGTATGTGTAGAGGCATGCATGTGTGCCCACAAACCAAACAAATATCAAGCAATCTGTTCCCTTCCCAAGTCTTAGGATCACATTTCATCCCTAGGAATGAGCCACTAGCTTCTTACATAAATTTCAATTGAAGTGACAATGGCTATTTACTGAAAACTGATTAAAACTTAAATAAATTTGTTTAAAACGGAAAAGTGAATTACTTACCTTGTCTCTGGATTGTAGCCTAATATATAGAAAAATGAATCCACACGAGCTTTGAACTCTCTGGCAGCAAATATGTCAGAAAAATGGGAGATATTACATTTCCCTCTGAAAATTAAGAAAAGAAAAGATATCAGGTAAATTTTTTTTAAATTACAAGTCAAAATATTCTCAAGAAAGGACAAACATAAACTCCTTAGAGGGTACTCAAGGAGAACATTAAAAAAAAGAAAGCTATAACCCTTCCCCTCATCACACATGACATCACATCTGATAGGGATACTCAGAGCAGCCCAGAGCTAGAGGAGATGTCAGAGGTAATCCAACCTAACACCTTTACTTTCAGAAAAGAGCAACCTGAGGGCCAGCGGAGCAGTGACAACAATTATTGGTAGGGCTAGAACTCAAACTGGTCTAGAGGAAGAAGCACAGACCTGGTGTCAGATTCAGAATCTACTGCTCAATGAATGCTCATTAGGATGCACCACAACTCTGCTCATTCTGGGCTCTCAGAGTCTACACTGGATGGGTTACACTCGGTACTGACTGAGTAGGGAGACCAAGGCCCATACAACGGTCCTCTCTGGGCCTCAATTTCGTCATGTGTAAAATAAGCAAACTAAACTAGATGATGTCAAAAGTCCCTCCCAATCTAAATCCATAATAGTTGATTTGCAGAACCCAGCTATGTTTCCACATCATCATTAAATTATTCAACAGTATGCAAATATATTAGTTAAGTAAATAAAAATATAGTCAGTCACTAGATGCCAGGCACTGTACTAAGCACAGGGGATACAAAGAAAGGAAAAAGATAGTCCTTGCACAGCTCCCAGCCCAATGGAAAAGACAACGTGCAGATAACCGTGTATAAACAACTTACAGAGAAGATAAATTGGGGATAATCAATAAAGGGAAGGCATGGAATATTAAAGGTTTCATACAGGTGGGATTTTGGGAAGGACATTAAAGAAGCCAGGGAAGCCAGGGAGCAGAAAGAAAGGGAGAGAATACTAGGCATGGCACAAAGTCAGTGAAAGTGGCCAGAGAAGGGAGACAGAGTTCAAACAGCAAGAAAACCAAGATCCGTGGATTTCAGAGTATGCGAGAGTGTGCAAAGTATAAAAAGAACAGAATGAGGGAGGATGGACAGGTTATGAAGTGCTTTGAGTAAGGGTTATCGAGGACAAGCATTAGATTTTAAATTGGATTACAGAGGTAATAAAGAAGCCAGTGAAGTTATTTAGAAAGGCAATGACAAGATCAGACCCAAGCTTTAGGAAAATCAATTTGAAAGCTTAAAGGAGAATTGAATAGAGAGGAGAGAGACTTCAAATATAGATTCAAACAAAACATATCAGAAATGGGAGTTAAGAGTGAAAAGACAAGGATGACAGCATGGTTGTGAGCATGGATGACTGAGAAGATAATAACTTTGACAATAATAGGGAAATTAATAATAGAGGAAGGTTTGGGGGGAAAGATTAGTTTTGGACACATGAAGTTTAAAATGTTAATGGCACTGGTGTCAAACTCAAACAGAAAAAGTTATCTGTGGCCTGAATATTGACTTAGAAAACCACAAATCATCACTATCTATATTGCATTATAGTTGTTGTATATTTATTTATTTTTTTTAAACATTTCCAAATTACATTCTAATCTGTATTGCGTCCATGAATTTGAAATCTCTGGATGGACACAAAGTCCCAGGTCTCCAGGCAGTGAGAAATGTGAGACTGATAGTCAGCAGAGAGATTATGGCTAGATAGGTAGATTTTTAAATCATCACCATAGAGATGATAATTGAATCCATGCAAGCTGATGAGATCAACAAACAGGACAAAGACAAAAAGAAGAGTGACCAGAACAGAGAAATGGAAACTATTCACTTTTAGTGGACATGACTTGTATGAAGATTCAAGAAAGGAAGGCCAGGAGTGGTCAGACAGGGAGGAGGAGAACAAGTAGAAAGTGGTGTCCTGACAACTTAGAGAATATCAAGGAGAAGAGGGTAATCAATAGTGTCAATGGCTGCAGAGAGGTCAGGAAGGATGAGAACTGAGGACACTAGATTCAGTAATGAAGAGATCAATGGTAACTGAAAAGAGAGCAGTTTCAGAGAAAGGTCAGAAGCCAGACTGCAGAGGGTTAAGAAAAGAGTGAGTGAACAGGAACTGAAGGCAGCTACTGTGGACAGTTTCGCAAGGTGATTAGCCAAAAAAGGTAAAAGAGATATAATAGTTAGTGCTGAAAGAATGATCAAGGGAGTTTTCTGAAGGATGGAGACACGTTTGCAGGTACTAAGGATGCAGTCAGTAGATGGGAAATAGCTGAATATTAGTGTGAGAGTAAAGATGATAATAGCAGTAATCTGCTAGAAATGGGCTGGAATAAGATTGCATGGGCAAGAGGGTTTTCTTAACAAGGAGAAAGGTGAGCTGTTTTTGTGGAACAGGGGTGAACAAGGAGATGGTGGCAGAGGGTGTCTGGGAGGTGAGAGCTGAAGAAAGAAAAAGCAACTCTCCATCAGTGGCCTTGATTTTTTCAGCGAATTATGAGGCTACAGATTCTCAGCTGCAAAGGTGGAGGGAAAGGAAAATGCAGGAAGTTTGAGGAGGGATGAAAGGCTTGGAAGAGCCACTGTGAAGAGTGGGATAGTGAGTTGAATAGGAAGATACAACATGATTATGATGAAGCAATAAGGGCCCAGTTGAGATTATGTAAGTAATTTGAAGTGGGTCCAGTCACATGGTTTTGTGATTTTTCTCCAGATTCATTCAGCAGCACATGATTATGAAAAAAGACAATAGACAATGGAAAAAATTCAGGGCTGAGGGTTACAGCTGACCAAGATCAGCGAAAAAGGGCAAGAGATTTAAGGGGAGACAGCATGCAGTCAAACTGGTCAAGGGGTAAAGACAACAAAGAGAAGAAAACTCTCTACTCTTTCTGTACTACCAAGAAATTTGCTGTAAGGAGAATATTTTTATGAGGATAGGTGTTGAGTAGATTTACTAGGCCCCAATTTTTTCTCCTTAGGCCAGATGTTCTTAAATTTTTTTGTGTCATGGAACCTTTGGCTGTCTGCTGAAGTCTCTGAATTGTTTTCACAATCATGTTTTTAAACAAAGAAAACTAAATCTATAGGACTGAAGAAAGAAAAGAAAGGGAGGAGAGCGTATGCAGTTTTAGGGTGCTAGTCTGTGAAAGAACTAAGGATTCAAAGTAATCCTAAGTAATGATGAAAACACAAGACAAAGGGAAAAGTGGAATGACAACATATTATGACCAACTGTAGGAATTTTACAGTTCATGAACACAAATGTGGAACACTGGTAGGTGATGGATAGATATGGGGCATGACTATCTCTGAGTATTGCTATAGTGAGGTAGAGAAGTAGGTCACAGGAAATGAGTAAACTGAGGAACTGGGAGGTAAAACAGAGAGAATAAAAAAATACATATGCTGAATTCTATTACGAAGATAGTGTTTAGAAGAAGAATAAGGTTGTGGTTCACTGAGGAAGTCCCTAAACACACTGAAAGAGGAGGGCACAAAACAGTCACAAAAACTGTGATTATATGACTCTCAAAGAAGAACTTACTGAGTTGATGGAGGCAGAGGATGAGCTAGGAATGGCAATGGAGAGCAAGAAGTCTTCCACATTTTTCACCTTGAACAGTGAATGAATGGAATGAGTTAAAGTGTAACCAATGCAGGGAGACTGTGTCAACAGGACAGTCAGGACTAAGCAGGAGCCACAAGATGAAAAGAGAGTAAAAGGAAGTGATTCAAGACAAAAGCAACTTTGCTGCCTATGGAGAAATGATTCCAGAGAGCACAGTGGAAGAGGTAGCAGCCTTAGAGTGGGACACTGGAGAAGTAGTGGGGTAAGGGGGTAGGGGAGATTTGATTGAAGAAGATATTCTGGATTTACAATGGGAAAAGGGAAAAGGCAGGGGGGAATGAAGAACAGGGTTTGCATTTATTTCTCACATATAAAATTTGCTTGTGTATATTTCATTTCCTCTTTACTAGAGTGGGATAGGAATTCCATGATGAAACTGCCTTTATTATTCATAACATGAGAGCCACTAAGTATGGTGCTCAGCACCCATGATTTAATTTATTAGGTTACAATCTGACACTTTTCCCTATGTTCAACTGAATAGCCAAAAAGTACTCCTAATATCAGCCTGATAATCTCCTCATCCATGAAAAATGTAAGCACTAAAAATAAAATTAATTCAGGGGAAAGCCAACAAACCTGAAAGCAAGACAGCAGTGCAAACAAGACAATACAAGTTAACAACAGCACTTCAAAAAAAATCACAAAATCCAGTTTTCCTTTTTAGCTAAAAAACTGTAGGAAAGAAAGCATTAAATGTATCATTGCACATGTTGCACCAGCCTGACTCATCTGCTTGCTGTTGCTCTACCCTGAGCACTTAGCGCAGTTCCTGGAATGTACTTAATTAATATATTCTTGTTGACTGAATGGCTGACAATATCTTCTCTCTCTTCTCCTTGCCACTAAACTGGATTTTGCCCATGTCTAGAAAGGTCTCCTTTCACTCCTTTGCCTTTCAGAACTGGATTTATTCAAGACTCCACTCAAATACCACCTTCTCAAGAATGCCTTTATGGTCCATCCAGTTACTAATGCCTTTCCCTAAAGATTCATTCGGATTATTATGTACGTTATTTCTGTACTTATTTATAGGCTTGTCATCTCCTTTGTTACAATGTAAGTGCCATGAGTTAGGGACTGTTTCTGCTTCTCCTTTGTATCTGCAGTTCTTAGCACAGAGCACGGCACAAAAGATTAGATGAATGTTTGCTGACTGATCAAAAACAAAGATCTTTTGCCATCAATGCTGTCGAAGATTTTTTTAAAAGCTGTCATAAAAAATTTTCTTCTTCTTTGAGTTTTAGAAACGACAGAATAGAAAAAAATTACCCATAAGAAAAGCAAAAAATTTTTCTTTTCATTTTCTTTTGTAAAACCCTCAATGAAACATATTTATAAGTCAGAAGCTTGGAATCCAGTAATCCACATACTAATGCAAAGAATATCATACATGATGATCAGAGTCTTAGCTAT